GACTTAACCTTACCAAGACTACGTGGTTCTGAATATAAGCATCCTCCCCACCCCAGATTTGGGGATTTTCCATCTTTAATCTTAGATGATGATATACTTCCTCATGTCTTTGAACGCATTCTATATTGATTAGGTGGATGTTAACTTGTTTATTTATATTATATTGTGGTGTGGGGGTTGGTTATTTTTTGATAATCTGAGCTACCCAAAGTCATTTTGGAGTTGGTTGATGCTTATATCTAAATAATTAAAAATAAATCAAGCTGAATCATAAGCAAATCTGCCTAAACCAATTCCCCAGCCTACTTTGCAGCAACTTTTTTTTTTTTTAAGGAAGTTGCAATTTCAAATCCACTGTTTCACATAAATTGTCATGTTTTGGAATACATACATGAAGGAAAGAATCCCAGCCAAGTACTTTATCTTTTGTTAGGCTTCAACGGCAGTTGTCAATGTCATTCAGCTGTTCACTGGGAACTACAGCTGTGAAAACAACAATGGAGTGAATAAGCCTTCAATTTGGTGATTCCAATGAGAGCAAGAAATATTCCTTGTGAAACCTCACAGTTAATGTGTGTTGGAGTGTCCCAATTGGTGCTAAAAGGAAAAAAAAACTTGATGCACTGTGTCCATTTCTTGGTGTCTATTAAACTTACAGTGCCTTGCTGATCCAAATGAGAAAGCAGACAATACAGCTTAAAACACATAAATAGCATCAAAAATAAGGGCTATGCTTCTGAACAAAGAAGGATCAATCAGCAGAGTAAGATGAATGTATGTGTAGATGGTTCATGAACAAGTGGTCTTCCCTTCCTCTCTCTCTCCCTCCCTCCCTCAGGTGCTTTGGAGAATAGCTTGACCCCTTCCTCGCTGTGGCAGCCTCTCAGATATTGGAAGACTGCTATCATGTCTCCCCTGGTCCTTTTCTTCATTAGACTAGCCATGCCCAGTTCCTGCAACCATTCTTTATATGTTTTAGCCTCCAGTCCCCTAATCATCCTGGTTGCTGTTCTCTGCACTCTTTCTAGAGTATCAAAATCTTTTTTACATTGTGGTGACCAAAAGTGGATTCAGTATTCAAAGTGTGGCCTTACCAAGGCATTATAAATCCTCTGCTGCATCTGTGATTTAGTAAATAAATATAGCATACCTATTACAGTAGTCAAAAATTCCACCACCACTGATGTGGGTGGCATAAAAAATACAGTGATGGAGTGTGACTTTAAATATGCTTTAGTTGAAGCATATGAAGAAAAGAAAATTACATCAATGTCAAGCAATAGAGGATCATGTCAGACTATGACAATAGGCTGCATGCATTTGTGATTCAAGGTGACATTGTGTGAGGGAAAGCTATGCTGTATCACAAGATTACAAAGCACTGGAAAATATGTAATAAGTAATAAGTGTCTTGTTCCAATCACTGATTCAATGAATCAGAATCAGCTTCTGGAAGGAAGATTTTCTGAGTCAGGCCATGTAAGTATATTAAAGTATGCTTTAAAATGTGGAGTATGCTGCATTTTTTAAAACATAAAAAATTGTATGATTCTCTAGATTTGTTATGTATTATGTTCTTAATTTTTTTCGTTGTTGTTGTTTCTTATCTTGCTTTATGAATACATATCCAGATTCTTTTGGGAGGCCCACTTGAACTTTCCTGTGGCACAAACATGCCTCAACAACCTCTTTTTTCTTCCATGTCCTCATGATATTGTCTTCATTAATCACCATACTTGAAGCAGACTTAAGTGATTCTTTATTATACTGGTGGTAGTGTTTTCCCCCATTGCAACCTGAGGATTTTTGGATATACTATATTCTGTTAGCTAGAATGTGGGAGTATTTGTTTATTTATTCTTTTAAATGATCTATATGGTTATATATCTCAAAACAGTGCACAGAGTTAAAACAGTTTAAACAATCCAAGCCGTAACATCTGAGGTGGCAAGCAGCAATTCCAACTGGTCAGTAAACAGCATAAACCAGTTGAGTTTGCTTAACTTCATAGCCCAAATTCTAGGGGGGAATAGCCAATCTTTAATTCATTACAAAAGGTCTCTTGAGGGATGCTCTTCCACAAGAATGGATTAGCTCAGCACTTATTGATCAGTTTAGGTAGTTCAGGCACACTGTTTCCTCTTGAATCCCTGGGCATGGCCTACCAGAGGTTTTCCATTTTGGAGAGGAGGAAAATCCAAACTGGTCTTAATATCCCTTCATGTCTCTGATCTAGGTGAACTAGATACTCACCCAGGAGACCTAGATTGGCTTTAATAGCAACAGATCAGTGTAGGGGAATAGGAGTTGCCTCTTTCTGAACCACTCAATTCTCCCCCTCCCACCTGCCAAAGTTGTTCTGTTTTTCAGACAGTTTTAGCATTCTTCTGGAATAACACTCTACACCAGGGGTCTGCAACCTTAAATACTCAAACAGCCATTTGGACCCATTTCCCACAGAAAAGAAAACACCAGGAGCCACAAAACCTGGGTGGGTGTGGCCAACTCAATGTCACTCACTTCCACCAGTCACATGACACACACCCCAGCCACGCCTACCCAGCCGTCATTAGGGCAGAGAACCAGTTGTTAAAAACACCAAGAATCACAAAATCCTTTTGACATCTCTCTCTCTCCCCTCCCTCTCTCTCTCCCCCCTCTCTCCCCCCTCTCTGTATCTCTCTCTTCCCCTCTCTCTGTATCTCCCTGTCTCTGCCTTGGCTACTTCTCCACCCCCCACTGTCGCCCTTACCTTCTCAGGCCAGGCGAGAAGTGACTGGGAGGGGAGGGCGAGGGGTGGGGCCAGGCAGTGGTGGGATCACCTGACAGGGAGCCACAGCAGAGGGCTCAAAGAGCCGCACGCGGCCCCGGAGCTGCAGGTTGCTGACCCCTGCTCTACACATATGCAGCTGCTTTTGAACATGGGTACAGCATGTTCTAAGATAGCATTACACCTGTATTCAGCAGGAGCCCAAATGTCAGCTAATATCAGTGAATAGTTAGGCTCCCATTGAATATATCCACTGGGACAAAACCAGAACAAGTCTAGATAGATGGCTAAACCCACCAGTCCAGCCACCTGTTATGGCTCACTACCTCCTCTTCCAGCAGCATCTCATGTTAAGGAGAGTGAGTGTAAGTATTTTCCACTTACAGATTATGTGTGAGTGTAGAGGAAGAAAATAAATCCAGCAAACAGTCTTCAATTGTAGTGAGTAAAGATGATGGCCTTGAAAGGCATTCAAAAGATCTGCTATTAAGGCAATGCTCAGATAAATGAGACTCAAGTACAGGACAAATAAATAATTTATGAAAATGCCCCAAGCAGCCCTTCTCAGCCCCAATTCTCATGAAGAGGGAGGAAGGGAAGCACCAATCTATAGAAACTGACAGAGGTCACTTCAGATTCATACTAAATATTTGACATGGCAAAAACAACAGAAATGTGCTCAAGTTACTCTGAAAGGGAACTAACCAAAACACCAAAAACCATGGTGTTTTTTTAAGCTAAGATTTCCCTCTTGTCAGTTTCTAATGTGATTATCATCCAAGCCTTGCTTCCACAACTCTTTCCAAGGAAGAGACCTTTTAGAAAATCTGTGGCCAATGCTTGTGAACTGAGCCTGATGCTTTGTCTATCCAGTGTTTCCAAACCTTGGCCATTTGAAGATGGGTAGACCTCAACTCCACATGAGGAATTCTGGAAGTTAGTCCACACACCTTCAAGTGGCCAAGGTTACAAAACCCTGATCCAACCTCAACTCACTCCTTCTCAAGCCTTCTCTGATTAAAAAGTCTGATCTTATTATACCACTGGCATTGGCAAGTATTTTCCTAAGTGATCAGCTTGAATTCAGGAAATTTTAGCTGCCTGGGTTTAGTTATGGGAGAGGAACTGGTTGTTTCCCATCCATTTTAGGGATTTAGAACCAAAAGCAAAAATGTAGACATTCAATATCTGGTGGCTTAAACCAGAGGGGAAATAATAGTATTTATTGACAGGATATTAATGTCAGTGAAAAAATATTAAACTGATAGAAAATCCCAAAAATATGCTACTAAATTCTCTTTCCTGTTCATGCTAATTTCTTTAATCTCTTCACCCTTGAAATTTAGTTCCCACCCTTGTCTAGAGGATTCGTGGCAGCAATTACAGGTTTCACTGAATCAAAAGTGATTCGTTGAGGGCAAGTTGTCTCTTCCTATTTGTCGTCTCTATTCTCATTAAGAGAATTATAGCCCGATACTTAAATTGTAAAGTTTTTACATTTGTTTTGGTAAATTTGTGTTTAGGACTACAAATGGATCAGTAGCTGTTTGTTGCTGCTGGAGAAGAATGAAGAGTTAAATTTTTGAGGTTCGCATGATAGTTTGCAAAAGTGTTTTGCTACAAAAGATGCCAACTGTCAGTGCCAAAATAACCCGAGAGACCCAAAACTCAGAGAAGAAGACAAAGCAAAAGGAACTAGTGTAGAGTCAAGGAGGCTTGGTCAGACAGGGCTGCCCTCTGAGTGACTGGATTTTGTTTTTCTAACTCATTCTTTTGATGCTTGGATGCATGAAAAGGAAAGCGAGTGGTCTTAATGCTAGAAGCTACTACAAAGGAGAGAGGGGAGGGAATTATGAAAGGCAGGAGGGCTACATGGAAGCAAGAACTAGAAATGGAGTAATACAGAAGTAGTGGAGCAGGCAAGTTGGGAGGAAGAAAAAACTGTGGGCAGGGGATGCTCTGCCAATCAGATCTATCAGCATTTCCCCATTTCACACATGCTTGGGCTTCTGTAAATATTTAGAATCTCCATCCATCAGGAAATCGAGTCAGCAACAAAACTGGATGCCCCCCAAGCCCCTCAAGGTGGAAAAAATGACACCATTGCTTCTTAATACCATCAGGCTGACATCAGCATCCTTGGCAGGTGGCGATTGGCCACGCAGCCTAGCCAATAGAAGAACTCCTCAGACCGGAGGAGGGGGAGAGTGCCAGAGCAAAGAGTTTTTAAACTCTTGCAGTGAAAACTCTGGAGAGTCAGACCTGACGTGCAACTAGGGAAGCAGAGAACCGCACTGAGCAACAATACCACACACCCCCTCTCCGTCATGTCTGCAACACATTTCAACAGGGGCCCAGCCTACGGCATGTCAGCTGAAGTCAAGAGTAAGGTAAGGGTAGCCAAGATGCTAGGTGTTTGTACGTGTGTGAGAGAGGGATTTCGAGTACCACATGGAATGGTACTTTTTCAAGTCGGGGATGGGATTGAATCAGTCATAGGACTGGAGAAGTGCAAAGGACTGTTTGCCTCTATGAAAAATCCAGGCACGAAGGGAGAGAATTGCATTGCTTTGGTGCAGCTCCTCTCAAGCATTCCAAGCATTTCACAGACACCCTCTCCTTTCAATTTCCATGTTGCAAACTAATGTTCTCCCATATCCTAATATTACAGGCAAGAGGTGGACTGAGGCTTGGAAAACTGTAAACTTTGGAGCAGGCATAGGAGAATGGAATAGTGAAAGAAAAAGCTGCATTTTTACTAATTCTATTCTTTGTCTGGAAAGTTATGATTAACCCATTTTACAGATACAGATACAGAATAATAGTTATGATGCAACTTTTGTCCCTTAACAGTATAGAAAGAGAATTTTACACATGAGGGTTCTGATTCTCTGTTTCATGATATTTATAAGGTCTGTTTGTTGAACCCTCAGAGGATAGCTTTTGGTCATGTGAATAAACATTCCGGCCAGTGGAGGTTTATAGCTGTGCTTTAAATATTAAGTAATGGCCACTGAATTCAACAAACCTCACTTCCAGACAATCAACACACAATTCCAATCCCTGGCCCAGCATCCTCCCACCCTATGAGAGTTGTTCACTAATATGAACAATATATTTGGACGGCACCAGGTTGGGGAATGCTGGGCACCTGTCACAATTACAGAAGCAGTTTAAAAGAGCTGCTGCTCCAAAACCCTGAGGACAACCCTGATTCCTCCCCCCCAATAAATATAAAATTAGTTTTTATAGTGGGTTCTGATGTACACAGAACTTAATTCAAAATAAGTCAACTTTAGACTACAGTTCTGATTTCTTTGCTATTGATCTTTTTATTGTTTCCAAAAATTAATTTTGGTATATTTAAGCTGGTATATATGGAATCCCAAGCAGTCTTGCAACAAAGCATTGATCAGACTGAACTTTGGAGGTTCAGAGGTGACTCGTAATGAGCCTTTGCTATTGCAATGTTTGTTTCCCATCTTAATGTATACATACACAGATTGCATACAGAGGTATTTTGTGCCTCTGTCTGCATAAAATCTCTTCCTACAGGCCTACATCACACCAGTTAATTTGGAGGTGAGATTTGAGACACGAGAACCAACAGGATTCCCACGTCTCTTGAGAGATGTTGGGCTCTCCCTTGCTAGAGTTGTTTAAACAGAAATCAAAGGTTCATCTATTGGGGATGCTGCAGTAATAAATTCCTGCTATAATCATGGGTTTGGACTAGACGATCCCCAAGATCCTTTCCAACTCTTTTGTTGTATGATTTTATGAACATGCTATTCCATAAGTCATGTGTTCCACTCCATAGAGGCTGAGTAATTACAGCTTAGCATGTTCAGGGAACCCTGTTACTATGTGCATGAGTCTTTTCTTGCCTCAGCTCTCAGAGATGAGATGATTGATGGGCTTTCAATGGATTAGCAAAATAGCAGGAAGCCCAGGAAGCCATGATGTGATGGAACTCCCATTTGCTTTCAATGACTCTTCACATAGTGAGGCAGCCACTTCAGATTATTGGTCTGAGGCGCCATTTGGAAGGTAGAATGGAAAACAGCACACATAGAGCTATTACTTGAATCATGGGGGGAGACAAACCGCTAATTTTGAAAGGACCCTTAGTTGCTATTTTAGGTGGTTTCCAGAACGGAAAACATAATTAAAATAAAAGAAACTGAGGGAATGACCATGGCTGATTTGTTTATGTTCTCCCAATACCCTTTCTTCCCACCAGTAAGATGCTGCATAGTTACAATTGAACAGAAAGATTCCCTGCAGAAGATCACCCTAGACTTGTGTTCTTCCTTTCATTTTATGATTTGTGAGGGAAAACATCATCAGGACTATGAGGATTGTGATCAAGTTATTAGGCAGGAAAGTGTCCTACACCTCTGTCCTTAGCAGAAACAGCTCTTAGATGCTTGGCAGGCCTTCAAGTTAGGACTTTGTTATCTTTTGCTGCCTCCTTGTCTATGACCTTTTATTCTAAATCACATTGGGAGCAAGAGCTGATGTATTATCAGCAGGCTTTTTTTTTTTTTTTTTGTAACTTAGCCTGACTGTTTGAATCTGTGTGGGGAGCACTCATCTACATCCCTGGATGTCAGAGCAGCTGTCCAGCTCTGATCAGCATATCCTTTAGATACTGTCCAGAGAGTCAATGAATTGCACATCAAAGGTCCTGGGTTTCAGACTTGGCATCTCCAACTGACTCCCTAATCGGTCAGGAACAATTTAGGAATGCATCCTATCCCCAGTCACTGAACTAGATTGACCATGGCTTGACTGGGGATAAGACAGCTTCCCTAGCAGTTCCTCACTGACTAGAGAGAGCAGAGCCTCTGTGGATTGGCCAGGAGGCCCTGATTTCTCTCTTGGTGCCCTGCCTTTCCCATGAGGGCTGGTTCTAGCCAAAGACCAGTCTCTTCCCTCCCCCTCCACAGCTCCTCTCTGGTCTGTCTTGCTGGAGCCTCGGCAGCAACAGACTCACCATATATGGTCAGTTTTGGGGTTTCTTTGGAGGCTAGTTCTAAATAAGGGCATGGCTGGGCAGGGTGTACATTTTAACAGACAGCAGAGGGGCTGCACTGAGATACCAGGTAAGAGAAGCCACCAACATAGCCTTCACACACGTGTGTATGTATATGTATGTGTGCACGCATACCCTTATATGCACACAGATATATAGACAAAAGTCCATCCTTCAGGATATAGATGCCATCTGTAGCCATCAAAATAAAATATTTTTTGTGAATTCTGGAATAAAAGAATCAGACCTCCTGAAGGAGAAGTGGTACCTTTCTCCCTTTCATCCTGTGCAAGTTGGTTACTCTGAAATATTTAATTGTGATAATATTTTTTCTGTTCTTAAGAAAAAATCAGTATCCTTTAAGAACAATTATGGATCCTAACATCCAGAACGAATTTTTTAAAAAAACCATTCAGTTTTTAAAATACCAAACTTTTTTCCAATTATATAGGTGTCTGGTGCCCTGTGCACATATTTTGTATATTTTGTATTTTGTTTCAATCTTCATCTCAAAGATCTACAAGCAAAGAAGCAAAATTTAACACTTTCAGTTGATGTAAGACTTCAAAATAACTGAATTCTATAATTCTAGAACTTTCAGGCAGAATAATCCACTAAGAAGTCACAAAAAGAGCAAACATAATTAAAGTTCAAATATCTCCAGTTCTTTCAAACATCCCCATAATAAGGAAAAAAAAAACATGGAAACTTGCATGTTTTTCTATCATTAGATTGTGATTAAATATAGAGAAGGTTAAACATTGTGCATCTGAACTTAAAATTAAGTATACATTAGAACATCCATTTTCAGTAGCTTTGGAATACTACCATACTATATCTTAGTGCAAATATTAGACAAAAATATTCCCAGGTGCTACAGGGAGTTACTACAGTATACCCCTAGAGATTGTTTTCGGTTGTTTTCTGCCTCCAGAATCTGGAAAAAGGCTGCCAAAATGGGAGCTATCTTAACAGATAGCTTTTGTAGAACCGTTGAATCGAAATGGTAGCAAACAAAAAGCAGTGACTTTAATTTCTCAGGAGAATATGTAAAGGATATTTTCCTCATGAAAATCAGATTTGTATATGTTTCACAGGTACTACTAACTGCCTCTATATAATAAATGGAGGACAGAACTTACAGGATCGTAAGGCTGAAAGGGACCTTGGAGGTCTTCTAGTTCAACCACTTGCCCAAGGCAGGAGTCCTTATTTCATCCCAGACAAATGGCTGTCCAATCTTTTCTTGAAAACATCCAGTGATGGAGCACCCACAATTCTTGGAGGCAAGCTATTCCAATTATTAATTGTCCTCACTGTCAGGAAATTTCTTCTTACTTCCAGGTTGGGTGTCTTTTTAACAAGCTTCCATCCATTGCTCCTTGTCCTGCCCTCAGCTGCTTCCCTGTGGCAGTCCTTCAAGTATTGGACACTCTTCCCTGTGGCAGTCCTTCAAGTATTGGACACTCTTCCCTGTGGCAGTCCTTCAAGTATTGGAAGACAGCTATCATGTCATCCCTAAGCCTTCTCTTCATTAGGTTAAACATACCTAATTCCCTTAGCCATTCATTGTATGAATTAATCTCCAGGCCCCTTATTCTCTTTGTTGCTCTTCTCTGCACTCTTTCTAGGGCCTCAGCATCTTTTTTTGTATCTTGGTGATCAGTATTGGATGCAATATTCCACCACTGCAGTATAAAGCAGTACTATCACTTCTCATAATCCTGATGCTATCCTTCTATTGATGTGGCCCAGGGCTTTTTTTGGCAGTTGTAGCACATTGCTGGATCATACTTAAGTGTTGCCCCATCAAGACACCTAGATCCCTTTCACAAGTACTAATGTTGAGTCAGATACTGCCTATTCTGTACCTGTACATTTGGTTTTTCCTGCCTATGTGCAGGATCTTATTTTTTTCACCACTGAATTGCATTTTGTTGGATTCCCAATGCTCAAGTCTGTCAAGATCCTTCTGACTCTTGAGTGTCTCTTCCAAAGTGTTAACAATTCCTTACAGCTTGGTATCATCTGCAAATTTGATGAGTTCCCTTTTATCTGCTCATCTAGGTTAATTATGAAGATGTTGAAGAGTACTGAGCCCAATGCAGAACCTTGAATTACCCCACTGCATGCTTCCCTCCATGTAGATGTAGTTCCATTGAGGACCACATGCTGTGTGCAGTTGGTCAGCCAACTGCAAATCCATCTGGTGGTAGTACTGCCTATCTCACATTGTTCTAAGAAGTAGGCTGTAGCCTACTTTATCAAATGCCTTATTGAAGTCCAAGTATACTATATCCACAGTGTTTCCTTGATCCACTAATTTAATCACTTTATCAAAGAAAGCAATAA